TGAGACAGAGTCTCACCTTGTTGCCCAGGCTAGAGTGAGGGCTGTGGCGTCAGCAAAGCTCACAGCAACCTCGAACTCCTGGGCTCAAGCGATCCTCCTGCCTCAGCCTCATGAGTAGCTGGGACTACAGGCATATGCCACCATGCCCGGCTAATTTTTTCTATATATATTAGTTGGCCAATTAATTTCTTTCTATTTATATTAGAGACGGGGTCTCACTCTCGCTCAGGCTGGTTTTGAACTCCTGACCTTGAGCAATCCGCCCGCCTCGGCCTCCCAGAGAGCTAGGATTACAGGCGTGAGCCACCGCGCCCGGCCCCTGATTAAGTTTTAAAATGAGGCTTTGTCTCAAGAAAAAAAAACAATGCTGCTTTACCAGGCTGAGGAATGAAGGGTTGAGTAAATAAGACGCAGTAGAGATAAAAGTAAAAAGTTTTTTAGTTAAAACGGGGGTGGAGGGGTGGGGAGGTAACATGATATATTAAGTATGCTCAGTTTGAAGCCCCAAAGACCAGAGAACACTCTAGATGTATACCAGAGTACATGTTAGTTCCTACACTGGGACCTAATTTCCCCCCCTATTTTGAAAGACATGACGTAAATGAATTCTCTGAAACAAAGGCACATTTTCAGGAGGAAATGTGCTCACAGTTTGGGGAAATTTCAAAAAATTCAATACACTCCTGGGAGAAAGACTGGCACAGTAAGATATCAATAATACTTTTAAAATTTTTTTTGAGGTTCAGCACTGTAGCCAATATATTTATCCTAAGAATAAGAGCCATTCTTTTTTTTTTTTTTTTTTTTTTTTTTTGGAGACAGAAGTCTCGCTTTGTGCCCAGGCTAGAGTGAGTGCCGTGCGAGCCTAGCCTCACAGCAACCTCAAACTCCTGGCTCAAGCATCCTTCCTCAGCCTCCAGTAGCTGGACTACAGCATGCGTCCACCATGCCCGCTAATTTTTATATATATCAGTTGGCCAATTAATTCTTTTATTTTATAGTAGATGACGGGATCTCGCTCTTGCCAGGCTGGTTGAACTCCTGACCTTGAGCAATGCGGCCCGCCCGCCTCCCAAGGCTAGGATTACAGGCGTGAGCCACAGCGCCCGGCCTTTTTTTTTTTTTTTTTTTTTTGAGACAGAGTCTTACTCTGTTGCCTGGGCTAGAGTGCCATGGCTTCAGCCTAACTCACAACAACCTCAAACTCCTGGGCTCAAGCACTCCTTCTACCTCAGCCTCCCAGTAGCGGGAACAGGCATGCACCACCATGCCCGGCTATTTTTCTCTATATATTTTTAGTTGGCCAATTAATTTCTTTCTGTTTTTAGTAGAAACAGGGTCTCACTTTTGCTCAGGCTGGTCTTGAACTCTGGACCTTGAGCAATCCTCCTGCCTTGGCCTCCCAGAATGCTAGGATTACAGGCATGAGTCACCAGGCCCGCCCAAGAGCCATTCTTGGTATGAAGTATGGACAAATCCAGAGGTTCCTCTGGCTCTGACTAATACTAAGGATCAGGAGACCTTCTAAGTGAACTAAAATTCCCTGAAGATAAGACCTCCCAAGAGATCCTGCTGATTTCTTGCTTCCATGCTGCACAGGCCCTATTCCCAACTGCTGAGAGCAATGGTTCCTAGGGCAGTCCATATTAGTCTGGAAGGTGGTCAGCCTGTTGATTTTGTGTAATATGGATGCTTATGTCATACTATTTGTTTTGTCATTGTCTTAGTCATCAAGCCCTATAGACTCTGCCTCCACAGTGTTATCTTTTCCATTTCTACTGCCACCACCCAACTACAGGTCACCATAATTTCTTTTCTTTTCCTTTTTTTTTTTTGAGACAGAGTCTCACTCTGTTGCCCAGGCTAGAGTGCCGTGCCATCAGCCTAGCTCACACTAGCTCAAACTCCTGGGCTCAAGCAATCCTTTTGCCTCAGCCTCCTGAGTAGCTGGGACTACAGGCATGTGCCACCATGACCAGCTAATTTTATATATATATATATATATATATATATATTTTTTTTTTTAGTTGTCCAGCTAATTTCTTTCTACTTTTAGTAGAGACGGAGTCTCACTCTTGCTCAGGCTGGTCTCGAACTCCTGAGCTCAAATAATCCTCCCACCTTAGCCTCCCAGAGTGCTATAATTTCTTGACTATCATATTGTAGTAGCCTCATAATATATTTCTTTGCCTCCAATCCTTTCTCCCTTAATCCATTCTAGAACCCACAATTAGAGTAATGAAACTAGATTATAGCATACACCATGGCACTCTATTATTCAGTGGTGGTTCCCAGCTGTCTAGAAAAGTTCAAAGCTCTTTGACTAACTTTCAAAGCCCTCAAAATACTGGCATAGGATGGCCGGGCGCGGTGGCTCATGCCTGTAATCCTAGCACTCTGGGAGGCCAAGGTCAGGGATTGCTCGAGGTCAGGAGTTCGAGACCAGCCTGAGCAAGAGCGAGACCCCGTCTCTACTATAAATAGAAAGAAATTAATTGGCCAACTAATATAGAAAAAAAAAAAATTAGCCGGGCATGGTGGCACATGCCTGTAGTCCCAGCTACTCGGGAGGCTGAGGCAGCAGGATTGCTTGAGCCCAGGAGTTTGAGGTTGCTGTGAGCTAGACTGATGCCACGGCACTCACTCTAGCCTGGGCAACAAAGTGAGACTCTGTCTCAAAAAAAAAATAAAAAAAAAATACTGGCATAGGAGGAGGAGGACAAGTTGTACCTCATCCCATTTTTCTAGCCTTTACATATCCTACATTGGTAAATATTCAGATTCATCCATTCAATAGCAGAATGTATCTGTGGTGGGTCAGGCATGGCCAGGGTAACAAAGGGAAGCTGGGTAAGTGTTCTCATCAAGTAGACAGCCAGTGAAAGAGATTAATAAAATTGAAGAGTAGTCACAGTGGAAGAAGAAAAATGAGGAGCATGTGGTACCCTAGAAGGTACATGAACAAGTGTTTCCAGAGGAGAATGAGCAACCATGTCAAATACTGTTGAGAGGTCAAGTAAAAGAAAGATGCAAACTGACCACTGAGTCATTGCCACATGGAGGCCACTGATAACCTTAACAAGAATGGTTTCAATGGAGTGGTGAAAATGAAAGCTTGAGTGGAGTGGGTTCAAGAGAGAAAAGGAAGTGAGAAGGTAGAATATTTTTGCTATAAAAGAGGAGCATCAAAGTCTAGATTCTAGCCAGGTGCGGTGGTTCACGCCTGTAATCCTAGCACTCTTGAGAGGCTGAGGCGGGTGGATTGCTTAAGCTCAGGAGTTCAAGACCACCCTGAGCAAGAGACCCCGACTCTACTAAAACTAGAAAAAAAAAATTAGCCAGACAACTAAAAATAGAAACAAAAAATTAGTGGGGTATGGTAACTCCTGCCTATAGTCCCAGCTACTCGGGAGGCTGAGGCAGGAGGATCCCTTGAGGCCAGACCTAATCCAAGCTGGACAACATAGTTGAGAGCCTCCCCACCCCCAAAATAAAATAATAAAATACAATTTATTTTAAAGTGAAACTTGCATTTCCTTTTTCACCTCTGTAAAAGGAAGTCATTGCTCTTGCTATTTCCTCAATCTCTCTCCCCTTCACCTCCTGATAAAATACTACTTTAGAAAGCACCGCAGAAAAGCTACCTCCTCCATAATGCCTTCCTCTACCTCTCCTAGCCCAAGGTGAATTTCCCAACCTCTCAACTCCAATATTAAGTTGTTGATGCCTTCTATGGAGTATATATTATATTCTATCTCACATTATGGTTGGTTGCTATGCAGCATTAGAAGTTCCTTAAATAGGCTGGGCACCATGGCTCATGGTCTGCAATCTCATCACTTTGGGAGGCCAGGGGTAAAGGAGGATCACTGGAGCCCAGGAATTTGATGATGCCACTGCACTCTAGCTGGGGTAACGTTGTGAGACCCCGTCTCAGAAAAAAGAAAAAAAAGAAAAAGAACAAAATGAAAAAAAAAGTTCCTTAGTGAAACCATTTCTTATAAACTACAACCACAGAATGCTGCTTCTCTCCACCCTCCCTGGCACATATTATAAATCCTCATGTTCTAGGTCCTGCCCAAAACATAATTGTGTGGTATGGGCACCATACCTCCTTACTAAACTGTGATATTTCCTTCACTTTCCTTTTGTATGTCCCTCAAATACCTTGCGCTCAAGTTTAGCTGTATTATTTGTACAGACATTTTGATAAAAATGTTACTTCAATTAACGTTAACCGACCTATGGCATATAGTCACAGATCCTTGTTCTCAAGGGGTTTACAAACCCCTGGAGTCAAATGTGCCTAATTATCACTACAAAAATAAATGGTGTCGAGACTCTCAGAAGAGTTGCTAGTGGAGTAAGGTTTGTAAGTAAATAGTACTAAAGACTATTAGAATAGAGAAGGGGAATGGGAGAAAGCAAGTAACAAGCAGGAATAAAGTTTAGTTGTGGCAGAACAATTTTGCTTAGTCCACTTATATGTAAACTTTATGGCACTTCACGGAACGTCCCGATTTCCGAACATTGTTGGACTGAGAGTAGAGAGCCAAGGAGGAGTAAAATAACAAGTCCCCAACTGTGCCCTCTTATTTATTCACATCATCTAAGACTGCTATTCCCCATCTCCTTTCTTCAATGGGTGATTCAATGTTTGAGACTTTGACTTGGTAAAAAAACAAACAAACAAACAAACAACTCTGGCACAAAAGCAACTGCAGAGGCCCGGAGTCAGGAAGCAGCCACGAGAAGAGCTCGGGACGCCGCTGAGGTAGAGCTGTAGAGGTAGAGCGCGCGTAGCCGCCGTTACGTAACCTCCAGCCGGAAGCTCCGAGGGCCGGAAGGCCGCCCCCCCTACCCCCGCCCCGGCCGGCCGGTAGAAAAGTGCCGTGCGCAACTCTCCAGAAGCTTCCGCCCCTTTCGCCTTTTATGGGAGTACGCTGACGCCGCCGCGTAGGACCGGCCCTAAAACTGTGACCAAAGAGCTCTACTCTCACTCCCTGGGCTTCGTTTAGCTAAGGAGTCGCGGCCTCCTCCACTTCTCTCACCCCGGCGTCGGCGGCAGCGGCTTGCGATGTTTGGCCTCAAAAGAAACGCGGTAATCGGACTCAACCTCTACTGTGGAGGGGCCGGATTGGGGGCCGGCAGCAGCGGCGCCACCCCCCCGGGAGGGCGGCTTTTGGCTGCCGAGAAGGAGGCCACTGCCCGGCGAGAGGTAGGGGGAGGGGAAGCCGGCACGGTGATTGGCGGAAGCCCCGGCGCAAGCCCCCCGGCCTCCCTCACGCCAGACGCCCGGAGGGTCGCGCGGCCGGCGCCCATTGGTGCCGAGGTCCCCGACGTCACCGCGACCCCCGAGAGGCTGCTGTTCTTCGCGCCCACCCGCCGCGCGGTGCCGCCTGAGGAGATGGAAGCCCCTGCCGCCGACGCCATCATGTCGCCCGAAGATGAGCTGGACGGGTACGAGCCGGAGCCTCTCGGGAAGCGGCCGGCTGTCCTGCCTTTGCTGGAGTTGGTCGGGGAGGCCAGTAATGGCTCCGGCACGGAAGGGTCACTACCCTCGACGCCGCCCCCAGCAGAGGAGGAGGAGGACGAGTTGTACCGGCAGTCGCTGGAGATTATCTCTCGGTACCTTCGGGAGCAGGCAACCGGCGCCAAGGACGCAAAGCCAATGGGCAGGTCTGGGGCCGCCAGCAGGAAGGCGCTAGAGACCTTACGACGTGTCGGGGACGGTGTGCAGCGCAACCATCAGACGGCCTTCCAAGGTAAGGGGGTTGATTAGTCGCCAATGCTGCGCTCTCTTTTTTCCATCTCTCCCTGGACTCATCCACCGAGGATGGGTGGAAACCGAAACGAGTCAGTGTTGAAACGAGTCTCCTCCAGTTTCTGAAACCAGAATATTCTGGCCATGAGTCATTGTTTCCGCCCATCTTGAGTCTTTTGGAAATGGCAGCTCTGTTCAAAGACCGGAAAGGGTGGGATGTCAGTTTTCAAGTGGGGTCGGCCTGTGTTCTATAGAACCCAAATAGCGATTTCCCCCGCCGTGGGTGGGCAGGCGAATCTTTAGACAAAGGAGGCCCTGAGGACCTGCATGCTTTTCTTCCTCAGGCATGCTTCGGAAACTGGACATCAAAAACGAAGACGATGTCAAATCTTTGTCTCGAGTGATGGTCCATGTTTTCAGTGACGGCGTAACAAACTGGGGCAGGATTGTGACTCTAATTTCTTTTGGTGCCTTTGTGGCCAAACACTTGAAGAGCATAAATCAAGAAAGCTGCATCGAACCATTAGCAGAAAGTATCACAGACGTTCTTGTAAGGACAAAACGAGATTGGCTAGTCAAACAAAGAGGCTGGGTAAGTTTGCCTTGAGATTGGAGGGGGTCTTGGAGTGGAAATGGAATGAAGGATTCTTTTTTTTCTTTTTAGAGGAGACGAGGATATCTAAAGGTTTTTATGATACACAACTCAGTTTTCAGGCTCTAACTTATGGACCTTGGTTGCTCGATGTTGATTTAAGTAGTGAGTCCTTACAGACAGTGGTATTGTAGTCTTAAATTATATCAGAAATTCTAGTTTTCTGCAGAGTATTTTTGTTGCCATTCAGTTGAATACTCTGCAAACCGATGGATTCAAACCGTGAAGAAATGAGTAACCTGGGGGTGATAGCTAAAGTATATTTGTAAGGGGCTCCATATCTTCACCGAATAGATGTGGAGTGGAATCTGTGTTTTAAACTTACACACAGGTGGTTCTCATACAGGATACACCCATATGAGAAATACTGGCCTACACTGTTGAGATATTAGGTGGTGGGGATTTAAGAGTAAGGGTTTTCCTCTTTTACCTGAAAAATGGGAACGGAACTCTGAGTCCCTTTGTTTAGATTATCCCAGTATGGAACTGAAGAACTCAGGAAATGTCTCTTTTTGGTGATGGAGGGGCAGTCCAAGGGTGAATAATAGGTTCATCATTGTGTTAGGGGGAAAACTTAGATGTTTTAATTCACCTTTTTCTATATATATATAGTGGTGGTAAGACAGTGGAAACCCATACTTGAAAATGTGCTTTTCTGTTTTATTTTGTTTTCTAGGATGGGTTTGTGGAGTTCTTCCATGTAGAGGACCTAGAAGGTGGCATCAGAAATGTGCTGCTGGCTTTTGCAGGTGTTGCTGGAGTAGGAGCTGGTTTGGCATATCTAATAAGATAGCCTTGTAAGTGCAATAATGGACTTCTAACCAACAACAGCCACCAGAACCACATACATCTGTGAAATCAAATGTATTTATGAACTTGGACTTAAAGCTGCCCAGGCTGTAACCTCCAAGAGTTCCACTCTAGCAGCCTAGCCAGAAAAGCAAGTGGCAAGAGGATCATAGCTAACAAGAATAAATACATGGGAAAAGTAGTCCCCCTTGATTGAAGAGTCACTGTCTGAAAGAAGCAAAGTTCGGTTGCAGCCACAAACAAACCTTGGGAGGCCATGGAGGAGGACTTTCAGATTTAGTGAAGATAGTAGGGTGGAGAGACTTACTTCCTTGTTGAGAACAGGAGAGTGGCCAGTAGCCAGGCTAGTCATAGAATTTATTAAATATGCCCACGAATTCATTAATTTCCTGTAGTGTTAAAAGAGCACTAACAATGCCAGTGACCTACCTGTATGAAATGAATTTAAGCTACAAGTAATAGAACTATGACTACAAGCCTCAGTACTGTACAGCAGAGTGTGAAGGGAAGCTTTTCCTCTCTCTTAACTTTCCCAGGTGTAATTCTTGAAGAATGGAAAGTCCAAGTGTTCAGGACTTTTATACCTGTTATACTTGGTTTGAATGATTGTTAGTTTAATAGCCTAGTAATGGCCAAGAATACTTGACTTAAGCCTGAATAATTGTAATATCGAATATCCTCAATTTTTAAGACAGAAACAACTTGTAAATGTATTTGTCTGTAAAAATTGTATATATTTTTACAGAAAGTCTATTTCTTGGAAAAATAAAGGGGGGGGTATTGAATTTAAATTAGTTTTTTTTTTTTCATACCCTTTTGAACTTTGCAACTTCCGTAGTTAGGAACCTATTTCTTACAGCTTTTCTATGCTAAACTTTGTCCTGGTCAATTCTAGAGTGTATACAGAACTGATTGATATAATTGTGTGCAACCTGGCTGTAATGGAACAAATTTGATTCATAACTATGCAGGCTTTAATTTTCCCATCTGATTTTGGTAAGTATTCCATAGATAGGTTTTTCTATGAAAACCTGAGATTGAGAGGTTGAAGAATGGAAATTAATCTTTTCACTTTGTTATATGTAGGTTTTCAATAATTGGGTCAAAAAGGAGTTTTAAGGTTGGGGGGACTGTACAAATAATGGGCTCTGATTGGGCAACTACTTATTTGAATTCCTTTCATTTGATCTAATTTAACTGGTGAAACTCAAACTGAGTTCATGAGCTCATCTTTAAAGCTTTTACTAAAAGATTTTCAGCTGTTCCAAATGGGACTTATTAGTGTGTATAAAAAGATCACATCAGGTGGATGGATGAGAGAGATTTGATTCCTTGTTTGCTTAATAAACTGTAAAATAATGGCTTGGAAAAGCAGGTTAGAGTCTAACCATGGTGCTATTATTAAGGCTTGCTTGTTAAACACAGGTCTAAGCCTAGTATGTCAATAAAACATACTTATTGTTTCATTTCTGTTAATGATTCCCAAACTTTGTTTCAAATTTTTGTCTTGGCATCTCTTTGGATTTCAGATTTGATGTTCTGTGGAACTTACATTTTATTTCTTGTTCTTCCTTGAAATATTTGCTGCTTTATTCTGCTCCCTCTACTGATACTTTTAAATCAATTTCTACTTTACCCTACCATCCCTGAACTCTTGATAGCCCTTTCAGATTTTGGCACTGTGAACACATACTGGGAACCTGAGTGACCACAACACCACCAGGAGTCCAAGAACTCTTCATCTTTCATGAATTTTATCCTATTGGGAGGTGGTAAAAACCATGGGTGACCTGATAGTAACAGTCATTGAGGTAGAAGTCCCTTTTCCTTGGACTGGTATCTTTTCAGTTGTTGCTTGATCCTGTCTTTGAGGAAAAAGTATCTAAAGTCACCTTAGGAATTTTCAGAGGAGGGAACGTCTTATATAACTTTCTCTAAAGTTTCTGTTGTATTTCAATATGCTCACAAATTTACAGAAAGACTTACATAAAAGCTACTGGTAAACTGAAGAAATCTTCTGTATTGTAACTAGTGTCATTTGCAAGCTTCAACCTCAGAACATGACCTTTTAGTCTGTGGACTCCAGATAAAAATAGGCATGAATAAGATGACTAAGAATGTAATGGGGAAGAATTGCCCTGCCTGCCCATCTTGGAGCCATAGGTCATCTTGCTAGAGCTATTTTTACCTATATATTTGTCATTCTTGATCATAAACCACTTATTTATGTCATATCTATCTCTAAAAACCTAAAAGCACTTTATGTAGTTTTTGATCTTAAGATCTGGTTATGGTGACTAAAAGGCCTGTCTCCCAAATCCAGTTGTGGAAATAAGAGCATAAATGTGAATTGGTGTTTAGGGGCCCCACTTCCCAATTCACTAAATGTGGCTGCTGGAATAGAGATGAGGATTTTAGTTGGTATTTTGGTTTGGGGCAGCAAGGGCTTAGAGACCCCTCAAGTGGTTTGGGATAGCAGATCGGGTGGTTGGTTTATAGGGAGAGGAGGCACATGGTCTAAGTGCTGACTAGCTGCATAACAGGCAAATCCTCCAAAGGGAAAGGGAGGGTCTACTTGGAAAGATGGCTCTCAGCGACTTCTGTTTGTTTTATGCTTCTCTCAGGGAAAAACATGCAATCCTCTAGTGTCGTCCATGTACATTTTATGGGTGGGGAGAACACCTTGGTTCTGGTTAAACAGCTAGTGCTTTTGACAGCTGTGCCAGGAAGGGTTAGGACCAACTACAAATTAATGTGGGTTGTAAAATGTAGTGTGTTTCCCTAACTTCCTGTTTTTCCTGAGGAAAAAAAATAAATCTTTTATTAAAATGCAAGGTGTGGTATGGGTCTTTTCTATCAATGCCTCCCTTCCTCCTCTTAAGCAAGCCTTTGAGGGAAGTCAGCTGAGCAAATATGTATAGATGAATTAATAAAAGCAAAAGCCCCACAAAGATGATTTATCTCAGTGCAAAGGACAGTTCCCTTCTTTGATTCAGATTGGAGATGTTGGGTATTTAATTACATATGTTACTATTACTTCTGTATTTTGGAATGGTTCTTTTACATTTTAGTACCCAAAAAGTCAAAATCCCTATCCTGATTTTTGAGTCACCAAGTGTTGGTATAATTTTGAGGTAAGAGGGTTCACTACAGCACTTATTCTATCTCCCCTGTATATAAGGGATGAAGGAGCTAGAAAAATAACAGCTGAAGTTAAGAGTTTTGGTGAAGTTCTTGGTACTGTTTCAGTGTTTTCCTCTTTCCCTTTCCAAAAAGGAGGTAAAATAAGCAAGTCAATTTTAAAAACTCTATCATGCTTTAATTTTCAGCTATCTTGAAAGGGAGCTGAATCACCATGGAAATGTGCAAATGTGAGATTTGCATACTGGTTTTAAGCCCTGAGCACCAAACACTAATGCAAACAGGATTCTGTACTTTCCCCCATGTAGTTTTGTTTGTATTTAAAAGTATATTTTGGCTTGGAAGCCCCTCTTTTTGGAGCCTAACTACCAAAAAGCAACTTTTTGTCATTACAAAGAAAGCTGTTTTGTACAAGGCACTCCCAAGCAAAGGGGTGGTGGGAGAGTAGAGCCCACAGGAGACACAAACCCAAATCTTGGCCCGTGTCCAGTCAATGGTGTTGCTCACATTGATATGCTATGATGTGAAGCTGTTTCTGTGGCAATTTTCTTTAGCTCTCAACACATTCGAAACTTGGATCCAATAGTAACCAGGTAACCCCAATCACTAGAGGAGTCAGAATAATCAACACTTTCATTTGACACAACCAGACTTCTGTTTTGTGACAAGAGTTAGGCCTTGCTTTGTACTGTTTCAGAAAATTTTTCTTTAAAACCAGTTGTGACAGCTGAAGGATTTTACAAAATTAAAGTGAAATAACTTGGTACAACTGGTGTGTAGCATGACTCCAGCCTGATGCCCAAAGCATAGGCCATTAATTCCTGGAGTTCAAGATGGTCAGCTGAGTCTGTATCCTAGTTTTTTGTTTCACTTGTTCAATAATTACAGAATTCTGTCTTCTTGAATCTTCCCACACTCTTCAAAGGCTTCTCAGTTTCAAGATTTGAAAACTTAATTCTTTTCCTTAGTTTCAAAGTTGTTACAGTGTTATCTTAGTTATGTGAAGCATGTGGAAAGATGGGGGTTGGGAATCTGCCTCTAGGCAGATGAAACAAACACCTCTCAGAAATCTGTGTTCTTTACTAATAACTCTTGTGAAGTAAAAAAAAAAAAAAAAAGGCTACATGTGGCAGGCTTTTGTTCCCAAAGTATACCTGGTTTCTAATTTGCAGACCTTTTCTTTACCTGCATAGAATAATAATAGCTCCTGACCATTTGGAAATGTGTTAGGGCCCCCTCCAGGTATCCATTATCCATGGCTGTTTCTGTATTTTTACTATACATTCTTTCCTCACCCTCTTCAGGAATTACCTTCGTTTATTAATTATTTATTTTTACCTAGAAATAATGTTTATTTGCTTAAGTGTTGTTTAAAGTGTTCCTCTGGGGAATAGAGGAAAGAACCTGGTTCCTTAGCAAATTCGGGTTTCAGTCCCAAGGCCCACTACTTGCCAGCCAAGTGACTTTTCTCGCCTCAGTTTCTTCTGCTTGGAAACTGAGGATGGCCACCCCTACTTTGCATGGTTGGTGGGAGGACACGAGGTGATGTGGGCAAGCCCACACTGTAGGTGCCCAATTGATCTCACCCCTCTCAGCACCTACTGAGGGGCGGGCACTATATTTAATCACCTGAAATACTGCGGGGCGCCTCCTCCATCCAGGCTGTGCTCTCAGGCGCCTCAGTTCCTGGTTGGCAGTCGGAGGAAGACTTCTGCAGCTCCACTTGACACTCCATACGCCTGGGCTTGGAGGCCAGCAGCCTCGTAGCAGCTACCTTGGTTTATTAAGAATTATTCTAGGCCGGGCGCTGTGGCTCACGCCTGTAATCCTAGCTCTTGGGAGGCCGAGGCGGGCGGATTGCTCAAGGTCAGGAGTTCAAAACCAGCCTGAGCAAGAGCGAGACCCCGTCTCTACTATAAATAGAAAGAAATTAATTGGCCAACTGATATATATATAAAAAAATTAGCCGGGCATGGTGGCGCATGCCTGTAGTCCCAGCTACTCGGGAGGCTGAGGCAGAAGGATCACTGGAGCCCAGGAGTTTGAGGTTGCTGTGAGCTAGGCTGACGCCACGGCACTCACTCTAGCCTGGACAACGAAGCGAGACTCTGTCTCAAAAAAAAAAAAAAAAAAAGAATTATTCTACATTGCAATAATCTGGAACATTTGACAGGATCTCAAGGCTGCCAGATGTTGAGAGCCTCTTCATTCATCATATGTGGACTGCTTACCTAGGTATAGAGACCTTAGCTGCTAGAATTAAAAAGAATAAGCCTTCCCCTTAAATAACTCAGTCAAAAATAACTGAGGAACAGTTCAAAAGGAACATGACAGCTAAATACAGTATAATCTTTGATGGGATCCTGGATGAATAAACTATAAAGGACATTATGGGAGACAATGGGGAAATTTATATATGTATTATATGTTAGTGCTATATCAGTGTTATATTTCTGGAGTGTTATGTTGTGGTTATATAAGACAATGCCCTTAGCCAGGTGTGGTAGCTCACACCTGTAATCCTAGCACTTGGGGAGGCTGAGGTGGGCGGATTGCTCGAGGTCAGAAGTTGGAAACTAGCCTGAACAAGACCCTGTCTTTACTAAAAATAGAAATTAATTGGCCAACTAAAAATATATATACAAAAAATTAGCTGGGCATGGTGGTGCATGCCTGTAGTCCCAGCTACTTGGGAGGCTGAGGCAGGAGGATCACTTGAGCCCAGGAGATTGAGGTTGCTATGAGCTAGGCTGATGCCACTGCACTCACTCTAGCCTGGGCAACAAAGTGAGACTCTATCTCAAAAAAAAAAGACAATGCCCTTGTTATTAGGAGCTATATGCTGAAGAGGTTATGCATAGTGAATCCACAAAATGAGAGGGCAAATGTGGCAAAATGTTAAAGTTTTTGATCTAGTAAGAGTGACAGGTATGAACAATAATTAGAACACACTATGCAAAGTGCTATAAGGATATTATAAGGTTTGGGGAAAAGCAAGGTGACAACTTCTAGAAGTAGAGGGTGGTAAAGACAGCTTCCAAAGAAACATTTGAGGTTGGACCTTAAAAGATGAGTAGGAAGTAAACATGCACAAAGGCATAGAAGTGGGAAAGAACCTCTGGGATTATGGGGGTGGAAGGAGCAGAGATGGATATTATAGGTAATTTTTTTCTTATCATTTCATCTTCTTTCTTACCATACTTGGTCAGTGATGTGGTATGTTTCTCCGATTTTAGGCCTTATATAAAAATATTGGAAAACCCTAGTAGGAAAATGACTATGTCTCTTTGGTCTGCATATAAATCTGAATTGAGTATAAATGACACAGAGCTGGGTGGATTGTGTTTATTTAAGGAGTAAAAAAGACTCCATTAATTGCTTCCTCTATGATGTTTTAAAGCGATGAACCTAAACAATCTTAGGATCATAGCCATCTTTGGATCTAGATTGGAGGAGCTGGCACTGGCACACTGGTTTGAATAAAGTTGCCCTTATGACAGGTTAAGAGCATCACCTAAGATAGCTCACTCACACATTTCATGAACCATCTGGTCCTTCACCCTCTATGTTTACACAGCCAAGGAAAGGAAACTTTGAGTATAGGCCTGGAAACACTATGCTCTTTGCAGAACAGAATTGTAATAAGGGACAGCCCCCAAAAGTTATTTTAACAGGACCCCAAGATGCTGAATGGTGGCTTCCAGTCTCCCTAATCCTGTTCCCGTGGGAGACTCAATTACTGCTATTCCCATCCTGATTCAAAAAACCAGTTTGCTCTGGCCGCCCAGACTTCCCCACAGGCTGCATTCTTGCCCATGAGCTCATTGTTTTGGCTTCTTTGCCTGTATAAAATCTACTGCCGGTGCCAGAGGTCTCAGCCTGGGGCCCCCTAACTGGCTGGGGCTGCATTCCATTCAGAATATCACCACCCCCACTTGGTGTTTTTCCCGCCCTCATGTGGTCACATGTGTATGTTTATTCAAGTTAGGCTGGGACAAGGTGTGCTGGGCAAGAGAGCCAAGGAAGCAGACAAGGAAAAGAATGTTTGTTAGGTTTCATCTTGGATTAGACTAGTTTTCCACTTTCTTTCTTTCTTTCTTTCTTTCTTTTTTTTTTTTTTTGAGACAGAGTCTCGCTTTGTTGCCCAGGCTAGAGTGAGTGCCATGGTGTCAGCCTAGCTCACAGCAACCTCAAACTCCTGGGCTCAAGCGATCCTGCTGCCTCAGCCTCCGAGTAGCTGGGACTACAGGCATGCGCCACCATGCCCGGCTAATTTTTTCTATATATATTAGTTGGCCAATTAATTTCTTTCTATTTATAGTAGAGACAGGGTCTCGCTCTTGCTCTTGGTTTCGAACTCCTGACGTCAAGCAATCCACCCGCCTGGGCCTCCCGGAATGCTAGGATTACCGGCGTGAGCCACCGCGCCCGGCCACCACTTTATTTCAATTAAGAAACATTTTCAATTCTGTGCCCTACAAAAAAGTTAATTTTCTTGCATAGGAAGAGGAGCTGGTTTTGAATTTTTTGCTATACATTTCATAATCTACTGAGTTAGTTATGACTCTCAGGTATTCAGATTTGAGGAGAAGCAGGGATCTCCCTAGGAAACATTGCTTTCATGTGCATTTTATTCCTGAATCTCCTATGCCTAGATCCACCCTGCATTCCTTTCTCAACTCACACCTCTGGT